TACGGTAGGTTCCAAGCAAGCTTTCTTTCACAGGACATTACTCAACCAAGGCACTCCCACCAAAAAGGTCCCTACATACATGGAGTACATGCAGATGGGATTTGCTGCAAATGAATACATGGTTTTCTTATTTTCTATCTAGTTCTAATCATTCTGTCCTGAAATCCTATTAGAAATAGATCAATGTTGTGTTGTGTTATACTTGTTATTGTAGTGTGCCTTCAAGCTGTTTCCAATCTATGGTGATCTTAAGGTGAATCTATCATGAGGTTTTCTTGGCAAGGTTTGTTCATTGAGGGCCTTCACTTAAGAGAGTATGACATGCCCAGGGTTACCCAAGGCAGACCCTGGTCTTCCAGAGTCCTAGGCTGCATCTGCATTGCAGAAATAATGCAGTTTGATGCTGCTTTAATTGCTATGGCTCAATGCTATGAAATCCTGGGATCTGTAGTTTTGGGGACTCTGGAGCTCTCTGACAGAGAAGGCTAAATATTTCACAAAATTACAAATCTCAGAATTCTGTAGCAGTGTCAAACGGTATTAATTTTGCAGTGCAGATTCAGCCACAATCCAACAATCAGACTACCACACTATGCTCCCTCCTATTACGTTATACTTCCTATAGGACAGAAATAACAACAGAGAATATATATATTTTATTTACCAAGCAAGCCACATAACAGGCAATAATTTCTGCTCATTTTATATTGATATGGGCTATCTATAGTATACTATATTTGTCCACTAATTTGTTTTTTTGAATTCAGTTGTGACACAGCACAGTAAGTGAAGCTGGAATTGAAAATGTGCATGCTGCCTTATCATAGTAAGGTAACAAGTGATTAACCTTTTAAATGTAAACACTCTGTCTCACATAAGTATAGTACACTCAGTTCTCAGATGAAGTTTCAGAGCAAGAAGAAAAGGAAATGCATACAAGTTTATTTTTGCTGAAACTGGTGTTGACATGCAGGGGTAGCTGTGTTGGCCATTTAGCAGATTCAAACAAAAAATCCATCGATGATACCTTTATTGGCCAACCAAAATGCACAATATACTTGTTGCAAGCTTTTGAAGCTCCATGGGGTGGGAGTGGGATAAAATTGCACTCTCTGCTTACAGTTCATTGCTGCATGTAGTATACTGTCCCAATGTATTTACTGCATTTCCCCCGCCAAAGAAATAGAATAGAGTCAAAGGGTAGCCAATCTCATTCTCTTGAACAGCAACTGGCAAATTCAAACAAAAATCCATCAGTGATACCTTTATTGGCTGACCAAAATGCACAATATACTTGTTGCAAGCTTTCAAAGCTCCATGGGCTTCTTCATCAGGCAAGACGTTACAAACCAAACAGGGGAAAAACAATTGGAGATGTTAGTCAGATGCCTACATGTTGTTTCAGTCTTTAGTTAAGATAGTATATGGTGGGGAGTGTCTCTTTTGCAGGCAGGCTCCTCCTCCTTTTGGCCATGTGGCATAGAGAGATTTTCAAAGTCCAGGAAATTTAAAATCCATTTGCATCTCAACAGGGACCCCTCTTTTGCAATCCAATATGTCTCCATTCCAGTAAGGTCACAGGCCTCTTTGCAGGCAGAAAATGATGGATTCCTCAAGAAGTCTCCCATGTTTTTGCATCAGGAACATGTTGGTGGGTGTAGAAGTAAAATATGCGAATTCAGCCCAGATTTAAGAAGAAAAAATAGTTTTACCTTGGTTGAAGGTCCCAGTCCACAGGCTGTTTTTCATGGTTCCCCTGTTGCTGCTACAATGCAGTATCTCACAATACAGAAAACATGCAGGGGTAGCTGTGTTGGCCATTTAGCAAATTCAAACAAAAAATCCATCAGTGATACCTTTATTGGCCAATCGAAATGCACAATATACATGTTCCAAGCTTTTGAAGCTCCATGGGCTTCTTCATCAGGCAAGATGTTACAAACCAAATAATTTTGCAATAATAGTTGAAACCGTCATCTCATATGGTAGCACACTGATGAGAAAGAAAAATCTTGTAAAGTGTTGCTTCTATTTGACAGTTGAATCAGGGCCTTGATATCTGTACTAATTATAAAAGTCACTGGCATAAGAGGTGGTAGTAAATTGCTGCACAAGGACAGCAGGCTTTAATAGCAGAGTTTTCAAACTCCATCATTTCCTCCTTTACACATCAGCTGTCTCTGCTCCCTCTCTCTAGGTTGATCCCATTCTCCTCACTCCACAGCTTATTATCACTAAAATTGTGACTGGAGATTTTTTTAAAAGCCTTTTAAAAAAGACTTCTGAAATCAGTTTCTAGGATGTAAGCACATCCTAAACACATTTATTAGGAGTAAATCTCACTGGATCTGTAAGCCTGAGGGCAGGGAAATGTCTAATTAACAATTTGTAAGCTACTCTGAGAGCCTTTTGGCTGAAGAATGGGGTATAAATAATCCAAAGAAAGAAAGAAAGAAAGAAAGAAAGAAAGAAAGAATCTGTGTAAGCATGCAGAGGATAGTGCTGTAAATCTTACTTCAGGATTTTCTATTCTAGGGGTCCTTTCACACTGATATAGCACTGATTACACTTTTAACTGCCATGATTCCATTCTTTGGAATTCTGGAATTTGTGATTTAAGGAAGAGCATTTAGACTTCTCATCCACAGAGTTCTAGTGCCTCATCCAACTACAGACCCTACCACTTTAAGTGCAGTCATGGCACTTAAAGTGAAACGATAATGCTATAATTGTGTAGTGTAAAAAAGACCCTTGCCTGTCACAATGTGTTTTTTTCTTACCAAACAATAGAATTTATGGGTTGCCATGTCAGAAATGATTGAAGGCAACAAGAAGTCATGGAGGGCGGGTGACAACCTTAGACCCCAACATTTTAAATTCTTCCCTTTCTTCCCTTAGTGCACCTTGAGCCAGCGTGGTATAGTGGTTTCCGCATTGGACTAACATTCTGTAGACCAGGGTTTGAATCCCTGCTCGATCATGGAAATACACTGGGTGACAAGTTACACAGCCTCAGAAGAAGGCAAAGGAAAATCCATCCATTATAGATCTTCCTTAGGGTTGCCATAAGTCAGAAATGACTTAAGGCACACAACAACAACAACAAAAACAACAACTTAACTCCATCTTTCTTTCTTTCTTTCTAGCCCACTTCCTTGTGGAGACAGGATTCTATTTATTTATTTAATAAAATATAATACAATCAAACGATTTAAAATACATTGGGCTAGCTGACTTTGCAGACTGGCTGATTTATACTGACACATTTGCATGGTGCTCATCTAAGGCACAAGTTGGGGTGAAGAAAGAATAGGTTCTTCCATCCATGGGTTCTGCAACCCCGACCTTGCGTGACTCCAGAATTTGGGGCAACCTGCTTGAGCAGAGGCATCAATGTGATTCCCTCCCCAACTCATATATCCACACAACTGTAGGGTCTGTGGACAGGGAGCAGCAACATGTCATCAAGGCCTGAGTCCACATTCTATTATTTACACATATTTCATTCCACAAGTAACATATAAAGGGGCTATAGTATTGGAAAAATTGTACCACGAGTCTGCCTTTGCTAAAGGTATGAACCAGCTCTGTGTAAAGGTTTCTGAATGTCACTTTTATATATGAAAGGATCAGTGGCAGGTAGTGACTCCCATGCAGTATGACCAGATGTCATAACTGCAAAGGAGGACAAGGCACCATAAAAATTAGGACATTCAAGAAAAATGTAAGGCATTACAAAATAGAAGCAAAAACACTATTATATAAACTCATTTCATATGGTTTATTTACAGCTATATTACATATACTGAACTTTATTATGTACTCAACCATATTTTTCTAATAAATTTATCTTCGTTAAAAAGCTTTGCTGCTTGCAATATACTTGTAGAGCTATGAGCAAAAGTAATGCTTAAAAATGTACTTTACTAGCAATAGACCCTTGACTGAATCTACATTTAAACGATTTAAACGATTACTTTAAACGATTACTTTAATTTAAACGATTACTTTAATTTGTAGTTTTCCAATCCACTCTCTCATCCCTCCTTCTTTTTCTTCAACCCAAATTGCACACTTTCCCCCTCTCTTCCCCTTGGTGCTACTGATCCAACAAGCCAGATCCTTCTTTCCTTTTCTCATGTTCTCTCTCTCTCACACACAGACACACACACACAAAATCGCCATATGGTTAGCAAAAGTCTTTTCACTCCATCCCCTCTCCCTATACACTGGGATTATGCTGCTCAAGTTATTGTCTCTGCAGCCTGCAACCTTGCTGATTCTCCCATTCTGTTGCCTCTCCAATGCAGGAAAGAGTTTTTCTGTAGTCATTTGAGTGTATTGTTGCAGGCTAAACATTTTGGTCATGTTTATTGCTTGGTGAAAACTAACAAGCCCTTTGCAGTAGCAGCGACAGTAATAAATCTGTTGAGCTACCTCTTGCTTGCCTGCTGAGGCACTGGATGACACAAGGACAGGTTTCGTGGCTCAGAATAAAGGACATTTTGGAATTCCTCCCAGATCCCCAAACAGAAGGTTCAAATGTCTGGGAAAAGGAAGTCCTCTGGACACCCTGCTCCCATGTCAGTGGAGCAGTGAACCCACTCCAGGTTTTTAATCCAGGTCTAAAGGAATTATCTAAGGCGTTGGGTTGTTTCACCAGAATGTGTTCAGTACCTTATATAGCTCCTTTAAAGCTATCAAAACCCAGATTAGATTCACTGCCCCACTGCCATGAGCACTATTAGGTACCGCTTATTTATGTTAATAATGCCAGTTTGTTTGAAGATCTGGTTCAAGGTGCACATATTTGTCATTATGTGCTGTTTTATAATTTAGATGAGAGAGACAGACACGCAAGAAGGCTACATACATGAAATAGACATTTTGCTCCCACCAGCTTTATCTAGTTTTAGTTTTCTTTGCTATTTGCCTTCCCAGTGCTTCATTCCTCTCTTTTTTCTGCTCTTCCTTGTTTCCACCCTTGGTAATTGCAGAGCTAGACTACTGTCGCCTTCCACATGTCATTGTTAAATCTATATACTATGGTTTTCAGGGGTTCTTTGCAAAGGCTGACCTCAGGTTTAATTGGCTTTCCTGTTTTTCGTCCTCTCTGTCTTGTTTAATCCTCTGCATCTTGCATTTATGGTACTACTGTTACTAAACTGTGATCATTTGTACTCATTTCAGCTTTGTATTCTGATGCTTTAAATTTTGTATCTCTTTACTGAGAAAGAACAACCACTGAAATCAACAGGGTTTCTTTTTGAGTGGATGTTGTAGGATCTCACTATAACTTTGACTTGGCTTTTCAAACCACTTTCCAAGTGAGAATCTCCACCAGTACCTTTCTAGGTTCTTTAGTGTTTCTATTTTTTCTCAGTTGACATGCTAATCATTTTGATTTATTGCCTTGTGACTTTTTTTCTCTTGAGTCAGCCTCTGCCTATTCATATCATTCTTCTTTCCATTGATGTTAACAACAGCAGTCCTAAAAATAAGTCAGTTCAGAAAAGCATTATCAGGCACATTTCTGACTATATAACTCAAGGGTAAGATATATAACTCAAAGTATGATGCAACTATAATTTTGAGGACTACTTTAATGCTAAGCTTCTAAAACAGGGGTCGGCAACCTATGGCCCACGGGCTGGGGCCGGTCCCCCGAGGCCTTTGGACCGGTCCCCGCCGCCCCCCACCACCCCTGCTGATGATGACCCCCGCTGCCGCTGCTACACACACTGCCACCATTTTATTTTCCAAAATGGTGGCTGTGACTCGTTTGCGCATGTGCAGTACTCATGCGCATGTGAGAATGAGCTGCGGCTGCCATTTTGGAGAACAAAATGGTGGCTGTGACTCGTTTGTGCATGCGCCGAGTACTGTGCATGTGCAAACGAGTCGTGGCTGCCATTTTGTTTTCCAAAATGGTGGCCGTGACTCGCTCGCACGCCGCCATTTCCCCACCACCATCATCGGCCCGCGGAAGACCAGAGAATCCCCGGCCCGGCCCCAGGTAAGGGGAACTTGCCGACCCCTGTTCTAAAACATGAAGAAAAATGCTTAATTAGTATTGTCTAAATCATAACTTAGAAACATTAAAAAATGAACTAAAGCTCCCAGAATCCTCCAGCCAACATGGCAGGTAAGGGATTTGAGTTCAGAAATAAAAAAAAATGAAACTTCAAATACTAAATATACCAGAAATTCTTAAAAAATGCTGTCTTACCCATCTTTTCCAATAGAAATGTGCAAAACCTGGAAAAGATTAACTTCTCTGATAAAGCATTATAGATTTTTGTGGTCTACACTAATTCCACAAAATCTGGTTCAGAGTCCTCCTGTTCTACTAGATATCCTCAATGAAACACTAAATAGACTCAGATGGCTTTATGATGTTACAACTTAATTATTGTTCTTGGATCTATTACTTGTAGAATTTGGGTTGGAAATTTTTGCAGACTTAGGGCCAATGCAGACAGGCATTTTAGGCCAGTCTGGGGGTGGAGTTGGGGCTGGGCGAGTGCACGTTGGCCACCCCAACTCTTCCCCAACTCTACCCTGATGCTGTGCACCTGTCCACATGTTGTAAGGCATCAGAGCACCCTTTTGGCGCAGCATGCACACAAAAGGAACCAAAAGAGCCAGGGCGGCGGCTCTAAGGGCAGCTTTTTTGCTGCCCTCAAAAGGAGCTCTTTTGGGGGTGGCAAAAAGGAGGATTGGGGCCGCAGCATGTGGCTGCTGTGGCCCCAATCCGCCGTTCTCAGGGGCAACCTGGAGCTGCTCCAAACAGGCCATCTGCATCGGCCCTTAGTCTACTTCCTCAGATGCATGGAATGAAGTTTTGTCTAAGAAGGACCTTTATAATCTGACTATATGAATAGCTATAGAAATACAAAATTTCTGGGTATGGTGATCAGGTGACAAATTCAGTTTTAACTATGGTCACTGAGGGACAAAGGCAGATGGAAAGATGTTGCCTAAGGCCAGGGTGGGTGGAGGACCATATGAATGGTGGAGGGAGTTTTGGAATGGGTTGTGTGCACACTGGGAACAAGAAATGAGATATGATAAACTGACTAAGGGCCTAAGCAGACTGTCAGAAATAGTGCACATTAAATTG